GGATTATGTTGTAAGCGTAGAAGATCCCGGCAATGGCAAAAGAGTATTTAAACCAGCAAGAACAGCCACCGTCTTGTTGCTCAGGGAGATTTTCTCTAATTGGAAGCAACCTTTGAGTTATTTTTTTTACAATAGTACATGCCCTGGTTTAGAGTTAAAGTATATAGTTTTTGATGCTATTAAAAAGTTAAGAAATATGGGACTGAACGTTATTGTTACCGTAAATGATGTGGGCTCCAATAATATTCAAAACTTTTTGCAAATAACCCCGAGATAATTTATTTTATTTTTGATGATCAAACAATTTTTTTTATATTCGATACACCTTACCTCATCAATGTTATAAGAAACATGTTACTGAAACATACTTTTCTTGTTTTTAATACAATAGTTTCTTGGTCATATATTACGCAATTTTATAATATTGATAAGTCGTTAGTTACTAGATTAGCGCCTAAAATAACTAATTCGCATATATTTCCTTGTAATTTTGAAAAAATAAAGGAAAAAGGTGCAAGTCAGGTATTTAGTCTTACAGTTTTAGCAGCGCAGGCCAGGGGCGCCGAGAGCCAGGCCGGGTCCCAGGACATTTCTCTAAATCGGACCCCGTGACAAAAAAAGAGCTCCTCAAACAAAAACTTCTTAGAGTTTTTCAATCTAAAACTATTCCTCCTCTACTTTAAATACTATTTCTAAAAAAAAAACCTCTCCCGCCAAAAATGTTCCCTCTAGTCGCATTTCTGATACAAAACAACAAAATCCTGTTTCCGGGCCCCTCTTATACCGCTACTGGGCCCATTTGAGTCCGGGCCACGGAAGTTAAACCCGGCTACCTCCCCCCCCCTCTAGTCGGCCCAGGCACCTGCTTATTTTATTGATGAAATTGACAAATTATTTGATATTTTAAACTCATCAAAAACATCAGACGGGAAGAAATATAATTTGTCGTTTAAGGGTCTCGACTTTCAACTGACATTTTTAAATGAGATGTTATTGCTGTTAGACAACTTAAAAGTTTTTAATAACTTAGGCGTGGATGTAACTAAAAAATGAAGTTTATAACAGGTTTTAAAATAACAACATTCTTCATTTACGGGATTTTCTTAAAACAAAAAACGTTAAGTTTCTTTTTATTAGACGTTCAAATCAAGATCCGAAAATTTATTTGAACAGTAAAATAGTAATTGTGGTAATCCAAGAGCCATTCAATTTCAAAGAACCTTTAGAAAGTTGTTCTGTGTAAAGCTACTCAATTCAGGAACTCAAAACTGCGAGAATGACATGTAGTTGCCGCGGTTAATCCAACCATTCGGCAAATTTGTCTAAAAGCATGAAATTTGGCACACACGTATTTTAGGTCATTATAAAACTTTTGACCCGGAGGGCAAAGCCATTTTTTGAGTTTGACTCAAAATGGCGTCTTTTTTCAAAATGACCGACTAACAATTCGCAACTGTTAATTATCAACAGTTTTCATCACCTAATATGTCGATTTTGACAATTTTTTTTGGCGTGCAATTCATTAAAATAACTTTTTTTAGTGCAGTGTTAATTTATTTGATAAATTTGTATAGGATGGTTAAAAGTGTACGTCCAGAGATAACCAGGAGATGTAACTATTAACAAATATCGTGCGGCCGTGAATAAGACATATTCTAAGGGACACAGTAGGGTATAATCACAATATATTGTGGGTATAATATCCGCTGTTGTCATTGTTAGTAAAGTGTATGTATTAAAATATTCGCTCAAGAAAACGATTCACCTCCCACTCTTTTGTCACATAGCTGAATTTTTCACAGATGAAAGGTCATGATAAGGTAACCCTTTTTCCGGAGTTAATACAAAATTAGATTGTGCAGAAGGGCACTATCATCAAAAATCCAGATATTGATACCACCGAATAGAGAAAAAAATACTAATTTTTTGGTCAAATGCACAATAAAATCTTTGTAGGGAGTAATTGTTTATACTTATTTAAAAAAAATCATTTGCATTAGCACTTACGGCCGAAAAAAAATATAAACGTAAATATCTTGGTTTTAGCCCTTCAAAAATTTAGTTAAAAAGTCGTCTTTTTTAAATATACCACTCATTTAACAAAAAACGAAGGCCTAAATAAAAAAAAAAACATTCTTTATAAAATTTTTGCTTATGTGTTGAGAAGGTAACAAAGTAAGCACTATATTTTTTGCTTTTGAATTAACAAAGATATAACAATAAACGATGAGAGATGTCATAGGTTAATGCTGTAATTAATTCTCACCGTCAAATTTATCGACTCTCAGTGTATCTTTCTCTTCACCTTCAAACGTAGCATAGCTCTGTTTCTCTCTACGTGCGGGCTGATGTATCACATTATTGATATGGTAGGATTTTTCATTTTTTTTATTATAAAACTTCTTGTTATGTTCCATAGGGCAAATGTGTCATATTGTTATCTGTTTTTACTAAAGAATTAATAAGTGTATTTGTTATATATTAAATTACCTAATAAATTGGGAAAAAATATAGACATTTTTGCATCTTTATTATATCTACATTCATCCTGTTGCAGCTAAATATATTTGGGTAAGTTATAAGTTTTCGTTTAAAATTTTAATTACGGATTTGTTGCTGCAAGTAGCAGAGACAAAAATTATATCAAAATAGGAAAGTCCAAAAGTTGCATATCATTTAAAGAATATGCTCATATATTTGTAAACATTATTTTTAGAAATAAATTTAATGCTCAAATGATAGATGTGGTATTTGATCATTATAAAGGACATTCTATCAAAAATACAACACGTCAAAAGAGAGGATTTCAGAAATATATTGATATAGAAATTGACCGACCCAATATTCCACTTCCGCAACAATAGAACTTGTTTATTCATTAGATATTTAACAAAAGACGTTTAACACATTTTCTGCCAGAGCAACTTCTTCAAAACTCCATTCAGCAAAACCATATTCAATTTCTAACTAGTGGTGGATTCGCGAAAATCAATAAATATGGAAAGAATTTTGAACCATCAAAAGACGATTTTTTTTGACTAAAGATATATGGTTCAGAACAAGGCGAGGAGACTCAAGGCGATTTCTAGCAGTACATTATTTAAATTTGGATGAAAACCTTCTAAAAAATATGCCTGCTTTTCATTCTGACCGGTTGTGATACAACCATTTAATTGTCCGGCATTGGGAACAAAACCTGTTGGAAAACTTACTTTGAAAACCATTACTTTTTGGATGGATTTGGCACTGATCAGTACTCTGAAAACATATTCTCTAATCTTGAAAGAATTTTCCTAAAAATGTATTCAAAACTGCCAATGTTACTTTCATTAACATTTTGAGGGGATTATTGACCTCTTCAAAAAACCATCGCTAAATTACCACCGACTGAAGACGCCCTAAGACTACATTGTTTAAGATGTTTTTACCAGCTAAATATTTGGCTAACCTCTTTAAACCCAGATGCAGCTTCCTAATGTTGAAGAGTATGGATGGAAAGTAGATCAAGATGGAAGTCTGATACCCACTTTTAAGACTCTGCCCGACCTGCCACCAGACATAACAGAACTTACATCATGCAAATGCAAAAAACATACTAAACAATATTCTAACAATAATATTCTGTTATAGACTGTGGAAGCAAAATTTGCAAATGCAGGAAAAAAAATATTTACTGTATCGGTTCCTGCACCTGTATGACACAGAAAAATTGTAGAAATAGTTTGACCACAGCCGCTAATGTTTTGGAAAATGTTGATTCGTGTGGTGAATCTGATTCTGATTAGTTTGAAAGTCTTGTAATTATAAATTTTAATATTATTAATTTATGCTTTATATACTTCCTTCCAATTATTATTATTATTATAATTTATTTATATTGGGGATTTATTGTATTTTGCAAAGCAGTAGCCTTACTGTTTATAATTGATACTTCAATAAATACCTTTAATAAATAGTTTATATTTTCTTATTTTCATTTTACATTAAAAATAAAAAAGAAATCTTGAAGTAATTATTAGTACACCCTATTAAACATGGTGGATAAATCAATAATCCCTGTATAAAATAATATAAGAGGGGTCAAACTGATTGCATACATTTCAATACTGAGATAGATGCATAAAGAGTCGATAGGCTCTGCCTTTAATGTTTGCTTTCTAGTAAAACCATGACATCACTAATGGTTTATTGCTATATTTTTGTTAATTTAAAAGCAACAAATATGAGGAAAGTACTTTTACCTTGTCAATACATAGGCGAAACTTTTATAAAGAATAGTTTTTTTTCATTTAGGCCTTCGTTTTTCGTCAAATGAGAGGTATATTTCTAAAAGAAGATTTTTTATACAAATTTGTAGACGGTTGAAACTGAGACATTTAATTTTTTTTTCGATCATAAGGGCTAATGTAAATGATTTTTTTCAAATAATTATAAAACAATACTTCCTACAAAGACTTAATTGAGCATTAGAACAAAAAATAGGCATTTTTAACCAAATTAGATGTAATTTCATTAAATTAGATGTAATAATGTTCAACAAATTCCAAAACCTAGTGATGTTAGAATAGAAGTGGCAACAGGGCTTACACCGGCAAGAAAAGTTACGTTAAGTAGTAAAAGCTCGGGCAGTTATTCATTGATAAAACTATGTAAAATTCTTCACTGTATCCCTTCTTTTACTTCTCACCTTTCGTCGCTTCGCCCCGCGTCTAGAAATAGAATGTTTTGAGTGCGAACTGTTCTTGGCACCATGAATATTATATTTTATGAATGACTTCTTATATCTCTGTTATCTCTGTGTACGTCCAATATGAGAATTTCGATGCTTATGAGCTTAGTCCAGCAAATCTTCTTCTTCGTATGCACTAAAAAAATTAATCGGTTAATAAATCATTAGAATATTTGTTATACTATTTACCACTTATTTACACATGTATCCTTGCACTTGCACTATAATGTACAAGTTAGTCCTGCGCGCCGACATGAGCAACCTTGCGATTCACACCCTGATTTACAGCCGCACTTTTCCAGCTCCCTGCATGCTGTTCATATAGATGAAAGTGTTGACCAAACTGGCTCCCAGACTTCATTGCGCTGCACCCAACCCCAAGAAATTGGTGTCGGTGGGTCACACTTTAACATGTCCAATGATCTGCCCCAAATTTGACCAGCTTGATATGCAGCACGAAGGCAGTGTTGCACCAGTGTTGCGGAGCTAGGGGGAATTAGGTGTAGCGGCTTATTTTCAGTACAGAACAGGTGCCTTCGAAGCTGATCGACTTTGGAGAATCCTGTAGTTGCAACATACATCATTGATGTAAAGTTTTCAAAAAGTGCTTGAATGTGACTTGGAATGTGGTCATTCGGAAAAGACAAAAATAAATGCGTCGGTTGCTGACTCACATGACATCCATGTTTTCCATGCTGCTTTTTTTCCTTTTCCGACAAAGAAGGACACACTGTCACACCCAGTAAAGGCATGAAAGCCCCTGAGGCCTACACACCTTTCTCTTCCTTGCGGGATAGCGATTTTGTGAGCTGCAATATATCGTCGATTCTTCCCCGACCCAAATAAAACCCATAGTTCTTCTAAACCCATATCCTGGAGCTCATAAAAAAATGACACAGATAAAACAACATCAGTGTCAACAGTTTGAACTAAAATATTTTTGGCTCCAAGTCTGACCATGTCCGAAACATGCAACAAAATGCGTCCATCTGCCTCTTCCCATTTTAAACACGATTTCCGCCTAATGCAAAATCACAATTCTTTGTAGTTAAAATATCATCAACATTCGTAACAATTTCCAAATTATCGTCTGATTGTAGAAGGTTTTTGACCAGGAGCGCCAATAAATCGCTTTTATTGTCAGAATTGCCCAAAAAATCGCTCCATTTTTTCGGCAGAAGACCTAAAACATAATAAAAGAACCTGTGATAAAAGTATTACGACTTAATGACAGCCTTACCGTTAGCTAACACTTGTCTCCGCACCCCTGTTCCCCTCTTCTCACGAGCCTTTTTGATGGTGTCAGTGTTGTAAAGGTCCCATACCACGTCTACCCTCTTACAATTTAGCGAAGATGATTTGCTTTTTATACACGTGGAACAACTAAATGCACCATTGCAGCTCCATCACACACTTCCGTCGAAGTGTTTTGGGTTGGTAGTTTCAACTAAAACTAATTTTTCCAAAATTTCTTTTAAGTTGGATTTATTTCCAGATCTCAGGCCACCATTTAATGAAATGGATGGAGGAATCTCTTGATTTTCATATCTGAAGAAATCATCCATGTTTAGTTTTCTAGATTCGCTGACAATAAATAGGCGTGAAAATAGTTACGTGCAGGACAAAGTAGCTCTTCTTGATTGTTACACTGGCATAAACAACACCTTGACCAATCTACTACTACTTGTCCTCCTAGAGAGGTTTTTCCCAATGTGTTGCCCTTTACGTCCATAATGCCTAAAAATCCTATATCCCGTTATAAACCATCATCCCCGAGATCGTCCCTCACATAAAAAAAAGTTTAAAAAATCCCTCAAAACAAATTTGTCCGCCTGACAATCATTATAAGTAAAAAGTCTATTTTTGTAGCATTTGAAAAAGGTACCTTGGCGCGATATAAGAAACACATAACCTCAAAGTAGTGATTTTCTTTTATTTATGTGTGGGAACATGATCTATTACCATTATAAAATAAATGGAAATATTATCTGTATATTCTTTACCTGACCAGTAGAAAAAAAACTTCCTTGTTTTTTCTATTCAACGAAATGAAAGTACTTGTTAGCTAAGTCGCGTGTTGCACACTCACAAGTAAAAACAAAAACTAAGGTCAGTCGCGAACTCGAGACTCGCCAGGTCACTTACTTTATTCGGTTTGGTTGAACCATATTTCGGAGTGGGGGTATTGCATTTGGATAGACTCGCCGAGTAGAGAGAGACGCTTTTAATATTAAATTGAACCACATGTAATTAAGGCAATTTTAAAATATACCTGCATGACAGGAAATATAAAATCTAAATTATTATGTGTTTCGATTTTATTTCCTCGTAGGTCATTTTTGACTATCTTGTATACAGTATGTTTAGCTAAACTTGCATCAGCATGAAAATAATAATATTTTTATTGATTTTTTCATCTCCAGATTAGTCAAAAACGACCTATAAATCGTTTAAAACCGATCAAAATAAGATTTACTAGATTATAAACCACCATTTTGAAAAATAGCTGCCATCTTGACCCATAATCAAAAATTGGGCTTGCCCTCCGGGTCAAATCCCTTAGAATGGCCTTAAAAATGTTCCTGCAAAATTTGGTGCTTTTAGACTAATTTGCCGAATTCTGGCCTTTTTTGGAATTAACCGCGGCAACTAATGGATAATATGCTTCTAATGTCATTAAAGAGGATACAAATTCATTTGTAGCTTATACACATCCCCATACATTAAATTTGCCAGAAATTGATAGAAGTTATCAAAAAGAGTCCATGTTAGAAACGAATTTCGAAAGGTATTTTGCTGATTATCTAATGAAAAAATGCCTATCTATACATTCTAGTACAATTTGCGAAGAATATTCAAAATCCTATCAAAATTTGGACGATACATCTTTATTTTGCTACTATAAAGCTTATAACAACTCCAATTTAGATTTATTTGGTAATTTAAACATGCTACACAATGATTTTGTAAAATTTATCTCCTTCTTAGAGGTAATATTACAAATAAATTTTGAAACTATTATTAAACACAAAGTATTTGTAGAAATACAAGTTTTTCACATCCATGTGAAAAATTTTCACATAATTATTTAATAAAATTATTCGGTAGAGTAAGATTATTTTATACTCTTAAATGTATTAATCGAATTTGGAAAGATAAGTAAATATTTTTTTATATATATAAATCTTTTACTTATTTATATTTGTAATGTATGAACTTAAAAATTAAATCAATAGCTACCCAATATTTTTTTTATTTTCCTGACCTTTTTTCGGTGCGCCTATGGAATACAAGTAATAACTAAAAGACGAGATCATAGCTCGTCGGCATCAACTACAAAGGAAATGAATGAGAGATATCGTTCTGGTTATTATTTATTCTTGTGCTTAAGGTCCAGGATTCAAATTCAGAATAAAAACTAATTAAAAGTAAAATAGTTTGATTTGATCTTAATAACCTAAATTAATTTTTAATATTTTGTAGATTTTCGTTAATGGGTCGTTAAAAATTATTTTCTATACAACTCAGAAAATACTTTATCCTCATGCGATATAGCCTTTAATAAAATTACTTTTAAATATCATTCAGATGATACACAATCACATCTTTATACTCTTTTATTAAATGCAATACTCCTTGTTTAATATAATTGTCAAAGATTCGCAAATTTGTTTATCAAAATCAAAACAATTTCAGTTATTTAAGTGTCCACTTTACCAGCACACTTAATCTGCATTCTTATGTAAGTCCGCTGCTGATTATTCAAAGACGAAAGAGAGAGGAGAATCAAGGAGATCCCCCATGCAAGAAGACGAATGGTAGTTACCACAATGTGCAGTTGACTTAGTGAAAGGTCACAAAAATCTTAGAGTTATGTTTTGAACACAATAACATTCTAAATTAAAGTGCCTCAACACATGCATGGCTGTTTCATAAAGTAATTATAAACTACAAGCCTCTTAAATTATAGTGTTTGTTGCAATTCCTATTGTAGAGAGCAAAAATAATCGCCATTCCTGAAAATTATGCAAGATTGTTTTTGATGATTATTCAAAGACATTATCCTCCGAATCGTGTTATTAATTTAATAATTCTTTCTGGTTATTTTTTTAATTTCTGTATTTATTTCTTTAAATGTTTTTAATAAAATGAATTTAATAATACAGTATCTAACTAAGTTAATTCAGATTTATACCATTGGCACTGAACTGAAAAAAAAACAATGGTATTATGTACAGGGTGTCTGTAAAAAGGTTTTACAAAAACATACCACATATTCCTTAGACCAAAATAAGTCGATTTAAGTAAAATTACCTTAGTACAAAGTTGCTTCGTTTGAGCTCCAGAGGGCCTTGAAGTTACAATTTTTAAATCGCTTTTCCCATATAAATTTAAAACGGCATATGCGATTTTGCTGCAATTTGGTACATTGGTAGAGTTTTATGTGACAAAAAAAAATGTATTAAAATTTTGTCCGATAATAATACATAGGCGTAGAACTTGATTTTTTAAATAATTGCACCTTTAAAAATTCTACGCCAATGGAAGAAAAGGAGTTTGAGTATGAAATTTAGATTGCGCAATTCATTTACTTTAAAAAAGGTACTCTTGATAAGATTCGATTACTCTCATGGTTTTCGCTAAATTTCTGTTTTAATAATTTAGAGTGTATAGGTTTCACAAAAATATTTATTTACAACATAATCAAAATAGAGATTTTACAAAAATTGTTTAAAATGTTCACTATTTTCACGCATACAAAGATTTATACGTCGAAGAAAATTAAAATGTATCCTTCCCATAACTTCTTCATCACCTCTAAGATTGTTTATTGCATCTTGAATACGTTGCCAGAGTTCTTCCTCATTTTCTACAGATTCCCTGTAAACTGTGGATTTCAGATGTCCATATAAAAAGTAATCCATCGGTGTTAGGTCTGGGGAATGTGGTGACCAGTTTACAGGTGCGTCATTACCTCTGCCTATCCATTTGTGTGGATATTGTTCATTCAAGTGGTTTCTAACGTTTAAAGAAAAATGTGATGGAGCTCCATCTTGCATAAACCACATATCTCTAGAAGTTGGAGAGGTAAATCTTCTAACAATTCTGGCAACTTATTTTGTAGAAAATCCAAATAATTTTCTCCAGTTAATCTTCGTGGAAGTATGACAGGACCAACAATGAAATTACCAATTATTCCAGCCCACACATTAATTCGTTCTGAATATGGTTTACCTTTATTGCATGCGGATTTTCAACGGCATAAACATGTTCATTATGGGTATTAGTTATACCTCTTCTTGTAAAACCCGCTTCATCGGTAAAGAGAACCTTCTTGACAAAGTTTGGATCTCTTTCTCTTTGCATATTAACAAATCGACAAAAACCCAAACGAATTTGAGGATCATGGACTAATAATTCTTGTACTGGCTTCTTATGGTATAGATATAGCAATTGTTCTCTAAGCACTTTATGAACGACATCTTTACTTACTCCTAGTTCCCTTCCAATTCGTCTGGTGCTTAATTCTGGATCTTCTTCAACACGTTCTAAAATGTCTTCTTCAACTTCAGGAATCCTTACAAAACGTTCTCTTCCATTATCAACAGTGTTGGGAGCAAAGGAACCGGTCTCCCGAAGACGTCTCTCAACAGCAGCAAAAGTTGGGTGGCTAGATACACGACGATTTGGAAACCTTTCAGAGTACACCCTGACACTCTCTCGAGCATTTCCTTCATAAAATCCTAATGTCAGTAACATATCGGTATATTCTGCATTGGTATATTGTACAGCCATATTAATAAACCACGCACTTGTTTTTTAATTGTTGAGTCAGAACACTTTCAATCGTTAACAAGAGATTAGGTGTTAAAACTTGACAATAT